TAAGACGTTCTCCCCACCCTTGCCGCGCTGACCTCATGAGAACCATGTGCTGATACCCCTCCCCTGGCTCACAGCCCTCTGTGGATACAGCGTCTTGGCCTTCAGCATGATGGAAGGTTGTCTGGCAGCTCTGCTGCAGCACAACGCTTCCCAGCAGCTGGCTGATTTAGTTTCCCCGCTTCCCCTGCCTGTGTCTGATGGTTCAACATTTCATTCCCTGGGTTTCCTTGTGTCCTTTTCACCTAGAGGAAGCCAAACACTCCCACGGCTCCAGCAACATCGCAGAAAATCTTCCCAATACATCAGCAGCAAGAGGAGCTAGGGCCTCAATGCCGGGGCTGAGAGGGTCCCCCAAGGCCTGCTGGCCGCACCCGCAAGATCCAAGCCCAGCTGAACATTCAACACCAAAGATAAGTTTTGGTGGTAAGGCTGGTCGAGAAGGTAGGCAGACAGCCAACACAGAAAGAAAACCATGCACAGAGCCACACAGATGACGTCCACTTCTGTGAAGGGCATGTCCATGGTGAAAACCATGGGGCTACCACATCGGACTTGTGACTGGAACGAGGAAAGAGAAATATCTGTACAGATATTTCAGCCAAGTAAACAAACAACCCGATAATTGAAAAAAAAAAAAAACAAAAAAAGGAAACCACTGTGATAATGTTGAATAGACCGATAGTTAAAATTATTGTTTTCCGACTTGCTTGTTGGTGGGAAATTAATATTTTGTCAATTACACCACATGAAGTAATTGGTGATGTTACCTACATAATTAAATAGCAGGCAATTAAAAAGTTTTCAAAGGATTTTTATCAGTTTAACAAATGAAGCAGCTGAGGATGATTACACCTATCTTCTAACAGGGCAAGGCTGGAAACTAAATCTACCAAACGACCCTCCACATCGATCTGGTGAAGATTTATCCCTGGCCTCTTCCAAACAGAACTGACGCAGTCACTCTATACAACAGTTAAACATATTTAAACTGGTTTAAGTATTTTTTGAAGACAGAACATCTATGTCAAAAGGAAAGCAATGTTAGGTAGAAACCAATGCCAAGAGACAGACAGAAACGGGGAATGTTACAAAAAAGACACATGGCTTGTCCTGGTTCAGATCGCCCGAGGAGAAAAGGCAGACACGTCCACGGTGAGCGTCAATCCCGAGTCTTCCAAGGAGAGGTCCAGAACTCCCCTCCCACAGTTCTCTGAGCCACTGTCATCTGATTTTGACTAGAAGTATCATATTTGTTTCATTCACTTACACATTTGCTAGAAGTTCTAAAAAACCTCAATCACGCATTATTGAATTAGCGCTCCCAGCTCAGCCTGTTCTACACGCGGGGTTAACGATGCAGATCCCGTGCTAAATGGGGAAACACTAAGGGAAACAATTTAAACCCTCCGTAAATTTTATTTGAAAATTAGCAAAGAGCTACTCATTCATAATTCCTAATTAAAACGGCTCTAATTAACACCAACGAGCACTAGCTGGCCCCCACCTGTGCCTGTACATGCCACTGGGGATGCAGCGGCCGTGTGCGGAGCTGCCCGCAAGTGGCAGGAGGGGAGATGGGCAGATACTCGCTGCCGCATCTATTTTGGGAAGCGATGCTCACCTGAGCTGGGCGCTGCCACTCACGGCCAGGCGAGCCGCCAATCACTGAATCTACAGGCGGCTCCTTGCTCCAAGCTGCTGAGAGCAGAATCTCCAAGGATTTCGGAGTGGTGCCTTTTTTAAAAATCAGTTTGTGGAGAAGGGTCTAGAAAGTGTCCATTCAACTGACACAGGAGCACAGCAACCTCTCCCTTCCCACTGGAGCTGTGACATCTTCTATCCCAGCCGCCCTTGAGTCACTGCAGGTGAGTCTGCTGGCTGGACCATGTGGCTGGAGGGGGTGCAGGGCCCCAGCTGCCTAGAGCTGCCCTCGCCTACCGACTGTGTGGCCCTGCCCTCCAGGTGAGCCAGGTCATGCCTGTAAAGGCCCACTGCCCATGCGCTTAGGCACGTGAGAGGATGCATAGCATGGGGTTGAGATGAGGCCACTGGCAGGCACGAGCAAAGGGGGACATAAGAAACAATGGCAGATCTTGGGCATCACCCCGGCGTGGGTCAGGAACATTGTCTTGTTTACCACCGATGTCACTCAGCCATAGGGCTGGGGTCACGCACTGTGGAGGGGCAGCTCCAACCCACAGCGGCTTGTGGGGCCTGGTCCCCACTGACTTACCCCTGGACACAGCCCCTCAGCAGACCGGCACAGGATGTGGCTGCTGCAGCGGGAGGAGTCAGCCAGCAGGAGACCAAGGCAGGCAGTGGTCAAGGAAACCAGAGCTCCTGCGCCCACTAGCGCTGAGCTGGGAGGCGTGAGTAAAGCCCTGTTCACAGTATCATAGCGTATGACGGAGCTGTGGGGTGTGTGTCAGCCATGCAGGGGAGCCTCCATGCCTTCCTGGACCTGACCCTGATGTCACAGTTGAAGCTCAAGCTGGAGCTCTCACCCAGTAGGCTGCACATTTCCTGTCACCCACCCTTGCAGGTGGACTGCCAGCAGGCCAGAAGGGATGCCCAGGATGGACTCCCACCAGCTAGCCCCGTTCAGGGCAGGTGGTCACAGGGAGGCCAGTTTGGAGACCTACCCTCAGCAGCCCTGTGGCACCAGTGGCCAGTTGTAAAGGCTATGGAACTGAGATGAGAGCAAGGCAGCGGTAGGCAATCCGGAAGGTTCTGCTGCCAGAGTCTCAGGCCAGGGAGAGAGGCCAGGCTGCTGTGACGCCTCAGGGCTTGGGGTCCTGCCCTCCCTAGCACGGCTGCTGACCCTGAAGGGACTATGCAGGCTGGTGGTGCCCAGGCCTGGCAAAACCAGATCCCACTGGTCAGCCCCTCACAGCTTCACAGACATGCCCCAAAGCACCCAGCTCCCCAGAGGCTGTAACTGACACAAATGGGCCTGTCACCCATCCACAAAAGTAAACCTGTCCACAGCCTGCAGTAGCTGGCCCTGGAGGGTCCATGGCAGGAGGGATCAGGCAGGTGCCCAACATGTGGTCTCAGCGTGAGGGGCAGAGTGAGCAGGCTTTGAACGTCTGGACAAAATACTGCAGACACCAGTGTAGGCAGCTGCAGTGAACAGGGTTTGGCACAGATCAGAGGCAGTGGAGACAACCAAAGAGGACCTCCGCACGCCCACCTGCTAGGGCAACGCCAGTGACCCAAACCTGATGCTTTGACAACCTTCTGACCCTGGGTGTGCTAGGGATCAGAAATAAATTCATCCTGACCACTCATAAGCTAAGAGGATCCGTCCTCTTCCTCCCACAACTAGAAAATTGTCTTTTTCTGTTGTAAGAAATATACTGTGGACAAAATCCACAAAACTGATTTCTTAGTAAAGCGACACACCAAAATGAAACTCTTGGCAAGATATTTAATGAACACCCACAAGACACCGCTGCATGCAGATCACCCTGGCCATGAAGCGGCGAGGCTGATGCCGCCACAGCACTGGCATTCCATACAGTTACTGTAAATTCTCTCGGATTTGCATGATTTCAGGGAGAGAAGCAAGATTGCCCTCTGCTGGCCCCCAGGGGGTCACACATGCCCTCTGCAAACTCAAGGACCGGACAGGGGAGGTTGCTCCCAGGCCACTGTGGACACCCAAGTCCTGTGAGGAAACTGCCTGCTCAGAGATCTCCCCCGGCTGGTGCTAGCCCATCCACACAGCAGGCTGCCATTGGCAGGCAGCTGGGTCACCAAGCAGTGGACACGGGTCAACGCCCACTCTCAGTTCTAGGCTGGGACCCAAGTGGCCGCAAACTTGGTTTTTCCCTGAGCAAGGGACACAATATTCCTTTTATCCCAGTGCTTCTTTTGAGGATGGGGAAAGTTTAAAAGTTGCCATCTCCCAGCTTGGGGTGGCATCTGAGTTCAGAAACTAGGTTCAGCCCCAGGTTGGGCATCTGGGTTCAGGGTCTGGGGTCCGAGTTCGGATTTCCTGAGGGAGTCGTGCAGCTGGTGTCTGTTTCCTGGTTCACCAAAGGCGGGAAGTTAGGATGGCCGCACATGGGCAGGGATCGTAGGCTGGGGGCTGCTGTAACGAGCCCCAACTATGATAAAAGGCGAAGTCCAACCTCACTGGGTACAGCCCCGTCCTCACCAGCAGTCCCTGTGGACGTCTGGCAGGACACCAGCCCTAAGGTTTCTCCAGATACCAAGGCCCCAGTTTCCATTCCACGCTCATGCACCTCTTTGATGTCCCTGGGCAGCCACTGTGCCAGCTCCCTCTGCCCTCTGGCTGGCATGGACATGTCCAATGCCGCCAGTCTCTGTGGCTCCAGGGCTGCTGCGCAGCTTTACCCTCAGCCCATCACCAAGTACCCCAGGAACAGATGCCCCTGTCCAGCTCCAACTCCATGCTCCTTGTTCAGGGAGGCGGGGACCTCCTGAGCCCTCAGAAGACAAGTTCCTTTTTTCACAAACCACCACAGTCCAGCAGACAGCCACCCGAGAGATCTTTGAGAATCCATTCTATCTGACTGTGGTGACTGCCAGGACAGGGCACCCTAACCGTTGGCGACTCCCTAGAAGCCCCGCCCCCTTCAGTAGGCTTGGGGGCACAGGTTGCTGCTTTGTGGCTTTTGGAGACACCCTTAGCACGTGGGGTGCTTAGCACCTCAAACCCCTGGCCACAGTGCAGGACAATAACGCTCCGATGGCCTGGAATGTCGTTACACCAAGCAACAGCGCAACTGGAGCCCCCAGGCCCAGAGCCTCTGCTTAGCCCCTGGCTCTGCCTCCCCCACTGAGGACCCTCAGATCCTGCCACCCGCTCACCCACCAGCCCCTCTGTTGATGGGAGAGACTGGTCTGAGGCTCCCACTGTCAGTGAGGAAAGAACCGGAACTCGCTGAAGCCCTGGAACCTGCTTGCTTGGCGGCTGAGCGAGCCCTCAGGCCCCACCACCCTCGCGCCGACCCCTCACCCTGACCCCTCACCCTGTGCCTCTGCCGGCCTTCAGGTTCGATATCGAGCTCCTTGCATTTCCTCAGAGCCAGCTCTAGTTCCATCTTCAGGTTGATGGCATGCTTCAAGTGTCCACCGTGGGTCCCTGCACGGGTAAACCGCTGCAAAACAAGGGGGCAGGTCAGGAAGGCCCTGGGCATGCACCAGGCAGCCCGTCTCTGAGCACACCTGGGACACAGGATGAGGGCGAGGGACAGAACCCTTCAGGGTCCCTCCCTCCCCCACAACCGGCACTCTCCGCACGTCCTTTCCATCCTGCAGGCTCCGGCCTTCCACGCCCTCTGCCTGACTCCTGGTCCAAGGGGGACATGCCTGAGGGCCAGGCCTCACCTGGACCCAGGAACACACGGCGGGCAGGAACTTGTTCCGGATAAGCTTGAGTGCGTCCCGGGCAGCATGGACCACATCAAGGTTGTCCTCGTTCTCCTGCACCTTCAGGCTGTCTGCAACAAAGCACACTGAGGTCACCAGTGGGACAGCAGCCTATGTCTCCCACAGATCCAGGCAAGGCAGATTACAGGCAGAAGCCACACAGCCTGTGAGGAAACCTGCTGACACCCACTCCCCGCCCCCTTCCTGGCCAATGTTTTGTGATTTTGGATAAAGAAACTCTGGCTTAACACCAAAGCCTCTCTCCTCACAGCAGCTCCACTTCCCACCCAGGCTGCAGCCACCCTCCCCCATCCTTCCCCCAGAGGACTCACCCTGCCCCACTGCGTGCACACAACTCCCCTCTCCCACTGCCCTCACGACCAGACCCCTGCCCTTGACATCAGGCTCCTCTAAGCTCCTGGGCAGCCGCCCTGGCCAGTTCACCAGCCCCACCCACCTGGCCTTTCCTCTAAGGGGCTACCGTCTTCTGCAAGGACTCTGTCCCATGCTCCCTCACCATGGAGCTCACAGTCTGGCAGGTGGCCATGTATTTACGCAGGTGAGGCGGTCACACAGGAGTGACCATGTTGGAAACAGGCAGCAGCCACTATGCGCCAGAGAATTTCTGTAGCACCCTCAGGTCCAACCAAGGCACTCTTGGCCCTCAGAGCTGGCAGAGCCTCATAGAGCATGGTCTTACGCCTGCCTCCATTCTGGTGAAGGGATGCCTGCTGCGCTTGTGCTCTAAGGAGCAGGTTCCCCAAAGACGGCCATTCAAAGCCATTTATGTACCTAAAGAGCCCCCAACCCCTGTGCCCACAGCCCACACGGGGAGTGCGTGGTGCCTGTAAGGGAGCTGGCCAAGGGAGATGGGGAAATGGCGACCCCCCACCTCAAGGTTGGAACGCTGGGTCCGTGTGGGGCTCGTGTGTCGCCATCCACGTCATCATAAACATGGCGGGAAACCCTTTCTTGATCCATTTTCCTCCCAGGCAAGAGAAGGTGGTGCCTCACCCCTCACGGCCAAGTGTGACCCTGACAGACCTGTGGTCACAGGACGCCCAGGTCACTTGCGGTGATGGACTTCACCTGCCCACCACACCACAAGGAGGACCACATGGGGCAGGAACCTCAGGACCTACCAGCCTTGAGACCCCTCCTCACCCCAGCCCCTCACTCTGACCTTGGGGGTCCCAGCTCTGCTCACAGCCTCACTGGAGTGGGGGCTGCTGTGATAGCATAGCAGAGAAGTCCACAAGCTCTCAGAAGTGTCCCTGTGGCCAGCCCGTGGGGTAGGGGGGAGGCCAGTGCAGAGGCCAGATGGGAAGGAAAAACCCAACAGCGCCCAGCCTGGCCCCACCTGAGGAGGCCCCTGCAGGTCCATGGCTCACCCTGGGCCAGGCACCAGTGAGGATGTGGCCTGACCAGCAGCCCAGAGCCAGGTGAGGGCATCCAGCAGCAGCCCTGGAGGCTGTTACCTGAGGAGAGCTCTACATCCAGCGTGTACTTGTGTGAGCCGAGCCCATGGCTCCGCACAAACTCTTCCCGGTCACTGTCCTCCTCCTCATCATCTGAGGGGTCCCCTGGGGCTGTGTGGAGAGGCTGTGCCCCAGTGCCCACGGCTCCTGCATGGCGTGCAGAGGCAGGCAGGTCCTTGCTGCAGCACGGCTGCTCTTCGTCCTGGGAGTTGAGGGTGCCAGACCAGCAAGGGGCTGCCCAGCCTAGGCTCGAAGAGCGAGGGGCACCCTTATCAGACGTGCCAGCAGCCTCGTCAAGGAACTTGGCCTCTGGGCTCGGGCCCAAGTCAAATGGCACCAGCAGCCTAAAGCAGTTCTCCACTTCTGTCAGGCAGGATCCAATTTCTTCAGACATTTCTGCCACGAGATTGGGACACCTGTTTATTGTCATACTGAGCAAAAGAGCACCATCTCACCCAAAACCGTGCCAAGAGCCCTTCCCCCCAAGGGGTCACTTTTCAGCACCAAGTGGGCAGACAGTCGCACATGCTGCCCCCACTTCCTGGACCCTCCTTTCTTCCCAACACAGAAGGACAGAGCCCTGGGTGCGTGTAGCATAGAAGCACTCTAGCTGCTTAATAAACCACCCGGCTCCGCAGCTGGGTCTGAGAGGTCATCTCTTGGACACCACTGGGTAACAATCTCAGGTCTGGACGTATTTGTGCCTGAACAGCTCGCTGGGGCATGTTTGAATGCTGCCACGGGAAGAACCACGTGGAGTGGCTGGCCAGGGCTGTGTCCCAGTGCAAGGCTAAACATCCTCCCTGGGACACGAAGATGGCATCTACACTGTGCGTCTCCCTGGGGCAGGACCAGCTCTCCCTCCTGGTGGTCTCACAATCCCTGGGCTGCAGGTGCCTGCCTCGTGGGCTCCTCAGAAGTGGCCTCTGGTGAGGCCACACCCAGGGACATGGCGTGTCTGTGGGAAGCTCTGGGGCACGGGGAAAGTCCAGGACCTGCAGTCTGAGGACGTGCGCCGGGCAGGCGGTGGTGCGCCGGGCAGGCGGTGGTGCCCCAGCCTGTCTTCCACCTCCCTCACACCCTGGTTGTGCCCATACAAGAAGGGACGACTGCCAGGAAGTAAATGATGTTTTTTGGGAGGGAGCTGCTAAGAGCAACTGGGGCCACAGGATGAATGGGCAAGAGGGCCTTCAGCCCTGCTCTGATGCTCAGACCACTGCCTGGATGTGCATCAGCACCCCCAGCGCCTCTGCCCAGGGGTCCTCTCAGTAAACAGTCCTGGTCGGACATGACCACCAGAGGGCGCAGGAGAGGCGCAGAGGCCAGCCAAGGCCCCTCCAGCCAGGGTTCTCAGGAACAGGCCTGGGAGGCTAAGCAGGTGCAGCTCCCCCAGCCTCAACCATCTCTGCCCATCTCGGTCCACTGTGACCGGGAGGATGAACGGGCTGGACCGAGGGCTGTGGGAGGGAACCTGCCTTCCATCTCTCGCTCGGCCTGCTCGGCTCTTTCCCTGCAGACTTTATCCAAGCGCTTCTGCTTCTCTTCCTCCCTCTTCCTTTCTGCCAGAGTCCGAGCACTCACATCTTCAAAATCCACCTGAGAAACAGAGGATAAAGAACACAAAGAAAATGAAAGTAAAAACCAAGTCTAACAAAACACACACGAGCATCCACATGCAGCCAAGATCTTCAGGAGTTAACAAGTTCAGTGTTTTAAAACAAAAGGAGGGCTGGCCCGGTGGCGCACTGCTGCAGTGCGGCGCTTGGGAGTGTGGCGGCGCTCCGGCTGAGGGTTCGGATCCCATGTGGAGACCGGTTCCCGCTCACTGGGCGCAACACCGAGGGTTGCGATCCCGTTACCAGTCAGTAAAAAAGACAAAAAAGAAAAAAGGAAATACACTTAACTGTGCTGTCTGATTGCAGGAAAGTCAGCACATTTTTCCAGCCCCAAGTGTGACCCAGGTGAGAAAGCAGTGTGTTCACTCTGATTAGCAGGCAGGGGGCTGCTGACTGGTCCCAGGGCCTAAAAACACTCCCGAGGGAGGCGGGGCACTCCATGGGCCACGTGGACAAAGCCTCAAGCCTGTGGGTCTGGGCCACCTGCACTGTGGAGGCCTAAGTCTCTGTGGCAGGTGGGGCAGGGGGTGTAGTTGGGTCTTGGCAGAGGCAGGGTTGGGTTTAGGCCACAGCAGAAGATGTTCGTGATGTTCAACATGCCCAGCACTAGCCAGAGCCCACGGCAGGAGCCAGGTGGGAACCTAAAGTGCAAGGCTGGGACAGATCCCAGAGCCCAGGGTCCACTGTCTCAGCACGGGCTGCCTTTAGGAAGCTGAATTCCACTTTCACGGTACACCTTGCGGACAGATGGAGAGCTAGTCTGCAGGCTCAGCCCCACCCACGCAGGAGCGAGCCTGTACTCCTCCTCTCACAGCTGCCCCTCCCTCTCAGGGAGTCCCCAACCCCACTTGTTGGCTGCTGTCAGCCCCGCCTCCTCCCACACCCCAGGGCTGGGTCAGCAGCCTTGGTGCCCAGGCAAGGTCAAGCAGGCCCCTGCCACCCAGTCTCCACAGGAACAGAACCCTCTCCCACCCGCAGTCTGCCCTCCTCACCCTGGTAGCCAGAGTCTGCAGACAGCACAGGGCAAGGGCCACTTGCCTTTTTGTTGTGTCTCAGGAAGTGGTAGCCCAAGGCAAGCTTCTTATAGGCCTCACCGAACTTTTCACTCCACCCCTGCACGGCCCGCATGGCCGCCCGCCTGAGCCTCTGGGCTGCCTCCCTGGGCGGTGGCAGGGGCTGCCCGTGGTCCGTGCCCAGTGTGAGCTCCAGGAACTCCTGGAAGTCGGAAATGACCAGCATCCTGAACTGGTGAGACCTGGCGAAGAGTTCATCCACGATCTGGAAGGCTGAGAGGCGGATCTCGGCGTGCTCCTGCTTCAGCTGAGTCATCAGCAGGTGATAGGCATGGCCGAGCTGCTCCTCTGAAGACCTGGGGACATGAGCTGGCCTGACCCAAGTGCCTGACGCTTGAAGGATAGCTAACTAAAGGCTCTGTGTGCAAGGACACAATAGTCACATCTGGCAGAGACTACAGCTGCCTCCCAACTGCCCTTCTCCCTTCCTTCTAGAGCAGGGTTGGCAAACTACTCCCCAGAGCCAAACCACCCCTCCCGTTTTTGTATGGCTCACAGCCAACAATGTTTTCTACATTTTTAAACGGCTAAAATGAAAGAATACTTTGTGACTTGTGAAAATTATGTTAAAAATTGTCAGTGAAATATTACATCCAAAACTATGCGAAAAATTATGTCAATGCCCATCAATAAAGTTTTACTAGCACACAGCCCATCCATTCATTTACACTTACATTAGCTGCTTTCTCAGAGTCAAGTAGCTGCAACAGAAACCTTACAGAACATAGAGCTTAAAGTGTTTACTAGCTGGCTTTTTCCTGCTCCCTGCACAAGCACAACAGACTGTTTAGCTGGGCACCTACTTCCCAGTCTCCTCCTTCAGGGAGTGAGGGGAAAGGCCTGCAGAGCTCCTGGGGGCCAGCATACCCTCAGCCCTTCCTGGTTGCTCTTCCCAGCTACTGCCCTCTGTGTACACCATGAGCACTGGGGGTTTTCTGGGGCAGGGAGCAAAACCTGATGTGAGCTGCAACTTTTTATCAAAATGTGAACACTTCATTATTCAATAATCTACCACTTAAATTCTCCCGTTTGTAAATACAGGACACAAGACAATGAGCGACCTCTGGCTCATGTTCCCAGCGTCTGAGAGAGAGGAGTTTTGCTTCCTCCCCGAATCTCTGGCTGCCTAAAGGTGCTCAACAAAGATCCCAGCCAACACTTTCCTCGGAAGGAGAGACAAACTGGGATGGGCATATTCTAAAGGCAGACAGAGAACTCGCCCATCTGCAAACTCTAATCTTTCTGCCTTCACATTTTTCAACACTAAAGAAAAAGATGTGCGCTTATCTGTACAGGATGTTTGTGCATTCCAGGATGCACAAGTCACCCATGTGCTTTGTCTCACATGCACATGCGGATGAATGCACACAGGCACCTAATGTGTTCTCCCCCACGACCAACACCCCCACCCTGGGACCACTGTCCCAAGAACATGAATTCCTGTCACAGCCAGGCATCACAAGACCCTGGGAAAATGTCCTGAGTGTGTTCCTTTGGTGGTTCTTTCCCAGGCAGAGGAAGATGATTGTGGGGGCAGGCAAGGGACAGCTAAGATATATGCATGTGGGCAGAGTGCTGGACCCGAGGGAGAGCCCCACAATCTCCGAGGTATGTCATGGGCTCACTGTGGATTGAACCTCCTCCCCAAAGTCACTGAAGCCTGAGCTACGTGGTAACAGTGTCAAGAGGGTGGGAAATCAGACTATGGCAATGTTGAAAGGTGGGATCGGTAAGAGGTGACTGGATCTTGACATCTGTGCCTTCGTGAATGGATGAGTCCACTTGTGGACTGGTGGGTTAACGTCTCAGTGGGAGCAAGTGAGCACGTTAAGGAGCTCTTGCTCATGCTGTTCTCGCCGTGTGATTGCCTCTGACCCACGGGACCTGCAGAGTCACCACCCAGAGAGGCCCTCCCAGATGTGTTCCCCGGACACGACCTCCCGCCCGCAAAGCTGTAAGAAGCCAGTCTCATGTTTTCAGCACGTGACCCAGTTTCAGGTACTCTGTTATACAGACTGTCACGCCGGGCCTGTCAGTTACCACGAAACGCTGAACCTGCAGACATACTTGCAGATCCTCTTCAGTGCCTTGGTTTTCTCAGGGTCCAGCTGGGGTTCCCCCGAGGTCGTGAGCTCTTCCACCAACTGAGAAAGCCTCTGATCCATACCTACGACACGCAGTGCGGGCGCGCTAAGTTTCCGCCGGGACCTCCCGCTCTGGGTCCGACGAGCCCGCGCTCGCTGAGTTCCACCCTCTGCCGGTCACCGGGAGTCCTCGGCCGGGCCCTCACCTGCTCCCTGCGGCGGTCCCCGGGCGGGCCCAGCAAGGCCTCCTCAGCGACAAGCAGGAGGGGCTCCGGCCCTGCGCTCCGACCCGCCCTCCCCGGCCGATCGCGGCCGCCCGTTCCCTCACGCCCCACGGGACGCAACGGCGGCCGGGCGGGGACGGCGGGCGGCCTGTCACCCAGGGGCCCCTGCCCTGCGACCGCGGCGAGGGAGAAACCTACCGCGCAACCTGGCCGCTCGCCTGGCCCCGCCTCTTCCGCCGGAGCCCACGCCCCCTGCCCAAGAGCTCTACAGCCATTGGCTTCCCCTGATCAAGGCGGCACGGGAGCGGAAGTCGGCGCGGCGACGGCCTCACTACTGCGCGACGCCGACGCTGCCTCCTTCGCCCCGCCCCTTCCGGCAAGAGTCCCGCCCACCTCGTGTCACGTGCCGCCGAACTCGGCTGCCAATGGCTCGCTCTGGCCCTGGCGGCGAAGGCGCGAGGGCGCGGTCGCGGTCTGTGCGGTGACGTGGGCGCTCTCTCGGCGGGGCGGGGCAGCCCAGGGAGAGCGACGAGCAAGAAAAAGCAGTCGGGAGGGCGCAGCAAGTCCTTAAAGGGGCAGCGCGTGTTGGCGTCGGGGGGCGGGGCCGCTTCGGCCCGGACGGCAGACCGGGAAACTGAGGCTCAGGGAGAGATTTCGACCTCGGCCTAAATGCCGTCGCAGCCAGGAGGCTCGCGGTGCCCGGGCTCTGCCCCTGCGACGGGGCGGCAAGGAAGGCCCAGGTAGGAGCCTCGGCGTGTGTCTCCCTCGGGGTCGCCGAGACCTCCGCCCCACAGGGCGCCCCGCGCTGCCCGGGAGGGGCCGGCGTGGGGAGCTCGGTTAGGGAAGTGGGGCAGGAGTCCCCAAGGGCCGGGTCGGGGTCCTCGGGGCTCGGGGCGTGTGGTGGGGTCCCGTGGGGCTCGGGGCCTCCCGGGACTCAGAAGAGGGGGGTTGGGGTCCTCGGGGCTCGGGGCGTGTGGTGGGGTCCCGTGGGGCTCGGGGCCTCCCGGGACTCAGAAGAGGGGGGTTGGGGTCCTCGGGGCTCGGGGCGTGTGGTGGGGTCCCGTGGGGCTCGGGGCCTCCCGGGACTCAGAAGAGGGGGGTTGGGGTCCTCGGGGCTCGGGGCGTGTGGTGGGGTCCCGTGGGGCTCGGGGCCTCCCGGGACTCAGAAGAGGGGGGTTGGGGTCCTCGGGGCTCGGGGCGTGTGGTGGGGTCCCTAGTGGCTCGGGCACAGGGTGACGCGGCGGGGGTCCCGGCGGGCAGGGGTCTCTGCCGGTGGCTCCGGGGGCACGCCCACCCAGGTCCTGCTGCCGGACGCCGTGGGTCCCCAGTGCCCATTCGGCAAGCGGAGCAGATCTCGTCAGAAAAGAATGAAAGGGAAAGAGACGTCTGTGCACACACAGACTTCCTGCACGAAAGTCCCTGGCGTCGTTCGTAATGGCACGAGGTGGGACCCAAGTGGTCGACAGGTGAATGATAGAAGGTGGTTTGTCTTTGCGACGGAATGCCAGCCACCCTTAGAAACCAGTGAAATATGACACGTGCTACAGCTAGAGCAACCCTGGAAAACTGCTCGTGAAGAAATCCAGATACAAAGGACCGTTCATAGGAAATGCCCAGAAAGGGCAAAGGCACGGTTGCAGGAGGCAGACCCTGGTAGCAGGGCTGGGGTCGGGGGGGAGCGACCGCCAGTGGGTACAGGGTTTCCAGAGTTCTAGAATTAGATCGTGGTGGTGGTTGCACAACCTTGCTCGTGTCCTAGAACCCATTGTGTCATATATTTTGTGCCTTTGCCCCTGCCCACCCCTCCTATGTACCTGTCTGGCCCCAGCACGCAGGCCTCTGTGGAGCTGTCTCCTCTGTCTGGAAGGTTCATTCCCATTTTCTGCGAGGCCCTTTCCTCACCTCCTTGCACTCTTCACTCATCCCTCAGCCTGAGCACGCACTCGTGTGACCTCTCGCCGCCCTTGCTGTAACACACCCTCCCTCTCCCCACTCTCTTAACCTGCTCTACTTCTCCCACAGCACTTGCAGCCTTCTACCACACAGGCTTGTCATCTTATTTATCGTTGCTTATTTTGTCCCTTTTCCACCCCCAGAACGTGTGCTCCATGAGAACAGGGATCGTTGTTTCATGACACCAGGCACACAGTAGGTGCTCAATATTTGTTGAATGTTGAATAAGTAAATAAAATTAGAAAACTAAGATGAATCATGATGAGAAGTAGAAGATATTTTAAAAGGATCAACTGAAACTTTAAGATTATAAAACCCAAGCAGGATAAACAAAAAACCACCCAAGGCACATTGTAATCAAATTGCAGAGAACTAATGACAAAAGTCTTAAAAGCAGTCAGAAAACAAAAGGCATGTTACAGAGTTAAAAGATAAACCACAGATTTCTTGGCAGAAAAAAATGCAAGCGAGAAGAAAATGGAACATCTTTAAAGTAGTAAAAGAAAAAAATACTGCCAACCTATAATTGTATATGCAGTATAAAATATCTTTCAAAAACTAAGGTGATATAAAAAGCATTTTCAGCCAAATAAAATTTGAATGAATCCACAACCATCAGATCTGCAGTACAGGAAATGTTACAGGAAGCTCTTCAAATGAAAGTGATACGAGATGCAAACTTGATCTATAAAAGGAATGAGTTCTGTAAATGGTAAAAATGTAGGTAAATATACTTCATTTCAAAAAATTTTCATAATTTATTGGCTGCTTAAAGAAAATATAATAATGTGTGGCAGAGTATATTACATCTGTAGAAGAAAAAGTATGACAAAAATAGGCCCAAGGGCAGGGGAGGGGAGGGATGTAGTACATGTCCTAAAATTCTCCTATTTTTACATCAAAAGGTATCGTATCACTTGACAGTTTTCTGTGACAAGTTAAAGATGTACACTGAACCCCTAGAGCAACCACAAACAAATTAGGTATTGCTAGTAAGTCCACAGACATAAAGTGGAGTCATTTAAAAATACTCCATCCAAAGGAGGGCAGGTGAAGATGATGAAAAGACAAGGGACATACAGGACAAACTGGAGGTGAGGATTGAGACCACAGCGATAACTATATTACATGTCATTGGTCTAAACATGCCAATTAAAAGGCAGAGATTGTCCAGTTGGATTTAAGAGATTACACCCCAACTATATTCTATCTACAAGAAACAAACTTCAAATTTAAGATGTAGATAAGTTAAAAGTAAAAGCATCAAAAAAGACATAATGTACAAACACTTAAGCACATGAAAGCTGGAGTGACTATAGTCACATCCAACGAAGTAGACTTTACAACAAGAAATATTACAAGAGAAGGTCATTTCATAATGATAAAGAGGTGAATCTTTTAAGAAGACATTGTCATTAGATGCATACGCATTTAAGATTAAAGAATCAAAATACATGATGTGAAAACTGATAGAACTAAATGGGAAGCGGATATATTCACAGTTATAGTTGTGGAGTTTTAAGACTCCTCTCTCAGTAGTTAATAGAGTAGAAAGAAAACCAGTAAGGATATGAAAAACTTTAGGGTGCATCAGCCAACTTGACCAAATTGATATTTGTAGAACACTACTCAACAGCTGCAGAACATAATATTCTTTTTAAATGCACATGCAACATTCACTGAGAGAGACCATATTCTGGGCCATAAAACAAGTCATAAATTTACAAGGATTGTAACCATATAGAGTATGTTTTCAGACAACAGAGTTAAATTAGAACTTAATAAGAAAAATATTTGGAAACTAACCAACAGACTTCTAAATGACCCATGGGCCAAAAGAAGAAATCACAAGGGAAATTATAAAATATTTTGAACTACATGAAAATGAAAATGTATCAAAATTTGTGGAATGATTATATTAGAAATAAAAAGCCCAAACTGTAATCTAACATCCCCCCACCCCAAAACAGCTAGAAAAAGTACAATTAAGCCCAAAATAAGCCAGAGTGAAATAATAAGTACTGACATCAATTAAATAGAAAATAGGCAAACGATAGGGGGAAAATCAATCAAATCAAAAGGTGGTTTTTTGAAATGATGGATAAAATTGATAAGCTTCAAGCTAGACTGATCAAATTACCAGGATCAAGAATAGGGAAGTAGACATCACTACAGAACCTACAGACATTTAATAAATAAATAAATAAATAAATTGGGGTATGTATGGACAACTTTATACCAACAAATTCTGTGACTTAGATGAAACTGACAAGTTTTTTAATGACAAAAAAATTATCAAACTTAAGAAAAAATACCTGATTAGTCTTATAACTATTAAAGAAATTGAGTTCATAATTAGAAACCTTCCCACAAAGAAAACTTCAAACCCAGATGGTTTCACTGGTAAATTCTATCAAACATTTAAGAAATATCAATTTTACACAAACTCTCAGAAAATTCACAAGGAGGAGAATATTTTCCAATTCATTTCATGAGTTTGGAATTCCCTGATACTAAAACCAGACAAAAAACATCGCGAGAAAGACTGTAGACCAGTAACACTCATGCACGTGGTTGCAAAAGACCCCAGCAAAGTCCTAGCAAGTCCAGTGCAGCGATACATAAAAATAACACAACATGCTACGTGGGGTTTGTTCCAGGAATGCAAACTTTAACAATTCAAAATCCATCAGTGTAATTCTCCATATAAACAGAATGAAGGAGAAAAACCATATGGTAATTTCATTACATTTGACAAAATTCAATAGCCATTCATGATAACTCTCAGGAAACTTATAGTGGAAATTCCTCAGCCTGATAAAGGACATCTGCAAAACGCCTACAGCAGACATCATTCTTAATTATGGAAGACTTAATGCTATTTGCTGAAGATTGGAAACAAGACAAGGGCATCCATTCTCAACCCTCTTATTTAACACTGTACTGGAGGCTACAGCTACTACTGCAACAAGAAAAAGAAATAAAGGCACAGAGATTAGGAGGGAAGATGCAAAACTGTCTTTATTTGCAGATGATATAATCACGTACACAGAAAATCCTAAAAAATTTACCAAAAAGCTACTAGAACTAATGAGTTATTAAGTTCACAGTATATACAAGATCAGTATAAAAAATCAGTTATGTCTATTACTAATGAACAATTGAAAGGCTGAATTTAAAAAATACATTTACAATAGCATTAAAAATCATGAAATACTTAGAGTTAAATTAACAAATATGTGCAAAATATGTACATTCAAAACTATAAAACTTAGATGAGAGAAATATCTAAATCTTTGGGAAGATAACATCATGTTCATGGGTCGGAGGACTCAATATTGTTACGATTTTAAAGTCCCTGTTATGGGCCAAATGGTGTTCCCCAAAATTCATATGTTGAAGCCCTAACCCCCCAACTTGACAACGTTTGGGATAAAGTCTTTAAGGAGATAATTAAGGTTAAATGAGGTCAGAAGGGTGAAACCCTAATCCAGCAGGACTGGTGTCCTTGTAAGAGGAAGAGACGCCAGAGATGTGCAAGCACAGAGGACACACAGAGAAGGTGGCTGGCCTGCAAGCCGGGAAGAGTGGCCTCACCAGGAACCAACCCTGCCAGCACCTCCTCCACAACTGTGAGGAAATATGTTTCTGTTGTTGAAGCCATCAGTCTGTGGTGGTATTATGGTAGCCCAGGCAAACTAATACAGTCCTCAAATTGATCTATAGAGTCAAGGCAATTCCAGTTAAAGTCCCAGCAGGCTTTTAAAAAATTTCAGTAGACATCGACAAGCTGACTCTAAGATTTATGTGGAAATACAAAGGATCTAGAACAGCCAGAACAGCTGTGAACAAGTACAACTAACTGATGGACGGATATTACCTGGCTTCAAGATTTGCTTTAAAACTGCACTAATCAAGGTAACGTGGTATTGGTGTAAGGACAGACCTGAAGGTCTATTAGAAGACAGCATCCAGAAGTAGACCCAAACTTACACGGTCAGAAGATTTAAAAAAAACCAAGGAGCCAACATTATTCAACAAGCAGAGAAAGGTCTCTAATGCATGATGCCGGAACAGTGGATTAAACACACGGGCGCAGGGTGGAGAGCGATCCTCCAGCTCTCCTCACACTCCACACACAAGTTAATCTGAGATGTGTTACATACCTAAACAAAATCTGAGACTAAATCTTCTAGAAGATACAAGAGAATATTACTGTGACCCTGGGGTAGGCAAACATTTTTTTACAACATAAAAAAGCATTAACCACAAAAGAAAGGATTGATAAATTGAACTTCACTAAAATTAAAACCTCTACTGATTAAGCGACACTGTCAATAAACTACAAATACGTGTATCTGACAAAGGATTTGTATCTGGAATATGTAAAGCGTTCCTATCAATTGATAAGATAATGCAATTAAAAACGGGCAAAAGGGCCTGGCCTGGTGGCGCACTGGAGAGTGCGCCGCTTGGGAGCGCGGCGGCGCTCCCGCCGAGAGTTCGGATCCCATGTGGAGACCAGTTTCCGCTCACTGGCTGAGCGTGGTGCGGGCGTGACACCGAGGGTTGCGATCCCGTTGCCGGTCCCCGGTGCGGGCGCAACACCAAGGGTTGTGATCCCGTTACCGGTCAGTAAAAAAGACAAAAAGGAAAAAACAAACAAACAAAAAAAAATGGGCAAAAGGCTTGAACAGACGTATGAATAACCAATCAGCACATCAGAAGGACCTTAATGTCATTAGTCATCAGAGAAAAGCAGATTAAAGCTCCCGCGAGGTGCCAGCACACACCCACCTGAATGGCCAACATGGAAGTGAATGACAGTACTGAACGGTGGCCAGGACGGAGGCAGCTGGAACCCTCACCCTGCCGGTGGGCATGCAAAATGGTGTCACCACTTTGGAAAATTCTTTGGCAGTTGTTGTAAAGTTAAACATACAGCAACACCATGACTCAGTAATTCTACTTCCAGAGAATTACTTCCAAAAGAAATGAAATTAATGTCCATAAAAAGACTAGTACACAAATGTTTATAGCAGCTTTACTTAAAATAGCCCCCCCCCCCAAAAAAAATGGGAACAACCCAGATGTCCATCAAGATGATGGTGCAGAAACGAATTGTGGTCTGGGTCGCTGACTGGTCAGCTCGCTTGGTTGGAGCACAGTGTTTGTAACACCAAGGTCAAGGGTTCAGATCCCTGAACCAGCCAATCGCCAAAAAAGACCACGGTCTACGTAAACACAAATTACTGCTACTATCACTACTGAGCAATACACAGGGGAACTACTGATACACGCAGCAACACGGATGAATCTCAGAAGCATCTGTTGAGTGAAACAAGCCAGACACAAGGGTGCACACTCTATGATTCAGTTTTTGTGAAGACGACTAATCTGTGGTGATAAAAATCAGCGATGATTGCGTGTAGGGGTTGTGGACAGCCTGAAAGATACAAGTAACTTTCTGGGGCCGTCCCTGGGCTTGAGTGGTGGTTACACATAGGTGTGCATTTATTAAAACTCACTGCATATTTTTACTTAAGATTATGCACTTTATGCATGCAACTTTTATTTCAATTAAAAAAAATACAGTAACACTCATCACCAACAGAATGTCTAAAATTAAAGACTACCAGTGCCAGGCGCTGGTGAGGATGTGGAGCGGGTGGAACTCCTGCTCAGGGGTGGGTGGAAGCTGGCACAGACTGTCAGCATCTGCTGCAGTTAAACACACGCCCAGCACTGCCACTGCTCAGTGTCTTCCCGGAGTGCATGTCCAGCAAAAGCCACGTGACGGTGCTCACAGCAGCTGTATCTGGGAACAGCCCAGGAGTAGAAGGGATAAACCACTGTGCTCAGTGCTCCAGGGGACCACGACACAGCCGTAAATAGACCGAACGAACTATTGCTATGGTGGGGGGAGCTGCCAGGCAGAAAGCGGAGCTACGGGACCCCTACTGTGTGACCGTTTCCATGAGGTTCGAGAACTGGCTGAGCTGCTCTCTGATAACTAATGATGAATGCCAGAATGCTGACTGGGAAAGGACCTGGGCGTATCTCTGGGAAGCTGGAACACTGTGTGGTGATTACATGTGTGCATAATGTGGAAATTAATTATGTGAACACTCAGGGTGTGTGCACTCCATTATGTTACACTCCAACAAAAGAGGAAAGGAGGAGCAGGAGGCAAGGCCTGAGAAGACCCTGCTCATGACAGCCCACAGCGCTGTGGGGAGAGGGCACGCAGACAAGCCACCACCTGCCCGAGCCCTGTGCTTGCTGGCAGCATGTGGCTGTACTAGTCCATTTCTGCTGCTCATAAAAGAATACCTGAATTGGGTGATTTATAAGAAAATGAAATTTATTGCTTACAGTTTCGGAGGCTGGGAAGTCCAAAGTCCAGGGAACACATCTGGTGGGGGTCTTCTTTGGTGGTGGCTTTACAGCAATGCAGGGGTCTCACACTGTAAGATGGTGGAAGCAGAGAGAAACTAACCTCCTCGTTCACTCTCCTTATAAAGCCCTCACAACCACACCCCTGACCACCATTATTAATCCATTCACTATGGCGTGGTGCTACAGTCCAATCTCTTCAATGGCCCACCTTTCATTTACCGTAATAGGATTTCCCACTCTCTTTACACTGTCACAGTGGGGACAAAGTTTTTTGGGGACATCAATCCACAGCAGTGGCCAACATGCAAGGTGCAAGTCACGGGAGACCCAAAGGCAGAGTACAGGCAGCAACCTGGACCCAGGGAGCAGACGTCAGCAGTGGGAACCACAGGTATCTGCTTTAGCCAAAGCCTGAATGAATGTGAACATGTTGGGGCTCCAGTGGTGTCACGGATATGGAGTGGCCCAGGCTGACGGGCGGGAGGATGGCCACAGCAGAGCTGGGCAGCAGAGGAGCACAGGGGAGGGGAGAATGGTGCAGCCTGAGCCCCTACTTGCAACAGAAAAGAGCCTGTAGGTCCCTGAAACCAGGGACCAAGTTGACAGGAGGTGGTCTCAAATCCAAGTCAGTCCTCCAGTTGGGCTGGGGCAAAACCCTAGCCTATGCCTCCTATCCCCCAGGAGGGCACTGGCTGTGCTAGCAGGAGCCAGGTTGGACCTCAGGACTCGAAATACGGGCGCTGTCTTCTCTAGGGCAGCCCCCCTCGAAGCTGTGGTGAGGGGAGGGCTGTGCAATGCAAGCCAGGATGGCCTGTGCCTCCTGGCACCACCCACTCCTAGGGCCAACTGGGTTGGGATGGTCTCCAGCTGCATTCTGAGCCCCCCTGTGGTTGCAGCAACAGAAGTTGCACAAACCCAGGTCCATGTGGGTTAAGGCCCCTGCCCCATGTGCTGAGCAGACCAAGGAGAAAAGGAGAACACAACCAAAGGGGGTTGGAAGCACACAGCAGCTTCTACCTCACACAGAAATAAGAAACGGAAAACCATTTTATTAACATGTTTTACATTTACAGTTTATTAGCTAATCGACATCAACATGCAAAAATAAGCACTAAATACAAACCTCTACAATATAGTTCTGTGTAAGCTACGACGGTTCATTCGTCTTGAGAAGTCATCAGTACTTATTTCAACTGAACGATTAGTTTCTGTACGAATAGTATTTAGACTCTAAAGTTATGGAACCATCCAGCAAGGCATCTGCAGAAACTCAGTCCAGTGGATTTCCACGTAAATACATTCTCAAAGCAGGAAATAAGGCGGCGCACGAAGACGTGATGTTGAACCTACGCACATACTGACAGTCCTGCGGGCACATGGTGCAGGTGGGCAGTCCTTAGAGCCAGCCCCTGTGGGCCATGGGACCAGGCATTTGGCAGCAGCTCTAGGATGAAGACTTGAAAGTGCCCTGTGGCTCTGCATTATGAGTCACTGCAGGCCAGTCCGGCATCGCTGCCACCTCTCCCAGGCCTGCCACGAGATGGCCAACGACTGGCCTGTTCTCCAAGTCTCATTAGCAAAAGGGAGGAAACTGAGAAACACAGGAAATAATTGGTTCCTATTTTTGAAATGTTCTTAAGCTTCCCTTGATGTTAGGTCAGTCTTTAAAGAAAAGTTTTCTTTGAAAGGTGAGATAGTTGACTTATGTTACAAAATCCTAACAATCAAAACGTTGTTTTCAAGTACAAACTTATTAAATCTTATTTCTTCTCTTCCTAGGAGTATTTATCATTGCTCACTGATCTTTGGTCGCAAGAAACAGAAACTCCTGGCAGCTGGAGCTCAGGGGCAGGACGAGGGGTGGCCTCCGTGCCACACAGTCCCTGACCCTGAGGTGTGCGCTGGCGACGTGGGGCCTACATGATGTACACTTTCTCGGCTTGTGAGAAGTGGAAGACTTCTTTGGTTCTTGGGCAAACAACTTTATCATCTTGACGAATAGAAAGCAGAGACTGAAAAATAAGACCGGGAGTGCATTAAGATAAGCAGATGTGATATAAATTAGAGTCACATTAAAAATTCTGGGCCGGCCCGGTGGCGCACTGCTACAGTGCGCCGCTTGGGAGCGCAGTGGCGCTCCTGCCGAGGGTTCGGATCCCACATACAGACCGGTTCCCGCTCACTGGCTGAGCGAGGGGCAGGTGCAGCACCGAGGGTTGCGATCCCGTTGCCGGTCCCAGTCCGGTACGGGCGCGACACTGAGGGTTGCGGTCCGTTGCCGGACACGAAAAAAGACAAAAAAGGAAAAAAAAAAAAAAAAAATTCATGCAACAAGGGCCAGCCCGTGGCTCACTTGGGAGAGCGTGGTGCTGACAACACCAAGTCAAGAGTAAAGATCCCCTTACTAGTCATTTTTTAAAAAAGAAAAATTCATGCAACAAACCGTAAGGGAATAAAAGCCATCTGATTTTGCAAAGCTGTATCTTGAAGGTATACCCGTCAAAGGCATCCTGGGGTTGCCCACCTGTCGTTCCCGCCCCCTTGCCCACTTTCAAATGACAGCCAAGAGCTGTGCACATGGCCCGTGCTCCTGGGCCCCTCACGTTGTAGCCGTAGACGTAGCCATTGGGCAGCATCATGGGTGGGTTGTTCTCATTCATCACGTCGCCGGAGATCTTGCAGACCAGGCGGGAGTTGGCACAGTGGGCCATGGGCAGGGGCTGTGCCAGCTTGTTCAGGGAGCGGCTGCACACGGGGCAGTCAGGGCTCTTGGAGCTGCCGTCCTCCTTGTAGCACTGTCTGTGTTTCGAGTTAAGGAAGGGGTCAGGGCTGCCCGGGGCAGCGAGGGTGAGGCACCACTCACTGCGGTGCTCACTGCTCTGAGCACAGGGCACCTTCCCAGCCACTTGAGCACTGCACAGAGAGCAACACCAGGGCCATCTTTCAAAGCGAGGAAAATGCTGTGTTCAACAGGAAAGCAGCCTCACTGAGGCCAGAGCACCTCCCACCCCCAGGACCACAGGGACCACGCTGGCTCAGTCGTCCCAACCCCACACCCTCTAAGGCAAGACAGGCAAGAGCCACGAGACCAGGGACATTCTCGGGACCTCACAGAAGGCAGTGAGCAACACACAAGAAAGGCCTTACTCCTGAGTGTTGAGCAGAGACAGTAAGAATGAGGGGCGTGAGCCTCATTTCAAAGCCCAGCTCAGCCAGGTACCAGCAGTGGTCCCAGTGAGTGAGTCACACACGTGGGGCTGGAGTCGGTCACACACAACAGTCACGAGGGACACAGTCTGTCACATGAGGGACAGAGTGAGGTCACAGGAGGAACTGAGTCCTCCTCAACAGGAGCTAAGTCCTGTCACATGCAGGGCCTGCCCAGGCCTCCTGCGTCAGGTGACGGTGCTGTGGAAGGCAACTATGAGGTGATCAGCCCAGGGTCTGCTGGGGAGAAACCGACGGTCAGTTCTGGAAGGACCAGGCCTCACACTCAAAAGGGTTCTGCCAAATCCAGACAAAGAGGGACAGAGGAGGCTGCCTCCCTGCAGAGGCATGACCATGGTTTTCTTAGTAAATTTGAGAAGAAAAGGAAAGATACTTGGCTGGGACAGGAAGGGTTCAGACCAATTAAAGAGTCTTAGAGGACTCTTGGGAATCAGATGAGAAAACTGTTCTGAATGATTAACATCCCAGCCATGAGACGCCATGTGAGCGTTCGCTTTTAAATTAGCACGAGGTGTACGTAGCAGCATCTGAGATGCAGTGATCCAGGATTCCATGATGGGTTCAGGGCTTCTCTCAACAACCGCTACCCCAGACCGTCTCAACTCAGCACCAGCACACTGCATGGGGAACTCAGGTCTTCCCACAGGGGACGCAGTGCCTGTCTTCATGACAGAGGGTGGGGTGGTAGGTTCAAGGTGAGTCTATTAACATGCAACCAAAGACATGAACCCCTGACTAGACAGGACTGAGCACGTGGGAAGGATACGGCGTCTTTATTGCTGAGAGGCCAGCCTGCAGGGTGAGGGTGAACACGGAGTTGTTTCCCAGCTGGTGCAGTCGGTAGTTGTCATACCGGAACTGCTGGATCAGCATTCGCCACCGGGCCGGGTCCAGGAGGTCCTGCAAGAGACAGGGCAGAGGGTGCTGGGGACTCTGTCACCTGCTGAAGCTCAGCACAAAGTGCAGCTCCCCGGAACCTTGGTTTGAATACATGCAGGACCACCCATGGCTTAACTTTCTGGAACATTCACCTGCTTGTGAACCGATGATCCGGCATGTGTGGATCCTGTGCCCTCGTGACAAAAAAAGGGTCGATAGGTGGGAGGGACAGCTCATCACAGAGTGAGCTTAGAAGCATTAAGAGTTAGAGGGAGAAGTCGGACCTCAGAGAGCAATTCATGAAATGGCACGCAGTAATGCCACCTCAGCCTAAAGCATCCAAGACCAGAAAATTAAGGCTGGTTGATGTCTGTCCTGTAAAAAACTCAGGTTTAGACTCAGAGAGAGAACTCAGTGAGAGCGACCAAGCACACACAAGAAAGAGAAAACTCAGAAAGGGCCCTTAGGCTCCAGCCAGCAGGGATGCTGCCATGGTGGGGCGGGGGCATTCCTCAAGCTCGTCTGACAGTCTTAGCTACAGTAAACATCACACAACTCCAGCACTTATAAAAATTTATTGTTATTGCTTTATCAAAGCAGAGTCTGCAACAGGATTAAACCAACAGTCCAGAATGCTCTCACAGAAAAGGACAGCTCCTGGCAACCTTCCATGCCCCAGGGTCTGTGGCCCCTGCCTTTCTGTGGTCTCACGTGGCCCACATGCATGGCTGTGACTTCCTGCCACAAGACAAGGGTTTGTTCCCTGTGTCTGGCGACTGTGAACCTCAGGAGTGCTAGGTCCTTGCTCTTCTGCACAGCGCCCTGCTCTTGGTTCTGAGAATCTACTCCACTGCCCCAACCCTCTGAGGTCCCCATACCCTAAATGGCCCGTCTCCCCTGAGCCGAGGTTTCCCTATGGATCTTGGGGAGCTTGGTCTTTCTCCTCCATGTTGCCAAATCCCTCTGACTGCCGTTCACGGTCAGGACCACATGTGGTGGGCTGTGCTTGACTCCAGGAGTAAGCCTGGGCCCCTGCCTGTCACCGCGGTGTTTGTTCCTGCCACCGTGAGTCCCCCCAGGAAGAGAGAGACATATCCACGCCCATCCTAAGCCGAGGCCTCAGCCCCAAGGTGGGTCAGCCTTTCTTGCACTTTTAACAAAATCTTCTCCAGAGCAGGTAAGAGAAACAAAAGACACTGACTTAAAATCTGAGAAGTCTAGACTCAATAATACCTGAAGATCTCTGTCACCTGATAATTTTTGTCATAAGATGTCCCAAACACCTCAGGACCACCCACAGAGATCAGCTTCAAGGCTCACAGAACAAACTCTGTAAACTCCAGGGCAAAGAACTGTACTTTTTCCTTTTCTGGGGGATGACACAGAAGCAGTGGGTGAGCACCGGGTGAGTACCGGCCCCATGATGGCCACGCCGAGCAGGGGCCAGGGGCAGTGTGCTGGACTCTGGTTAGCAACAGTGCATGGCCATGACCTCACACCCACCGACCCACAAAGTGAAAGCAAGCGGGGGCCCTCAGCAGGACTAGCTGAGCACAGAAGGCCTGCCAGTGACCCCGAGGCAGCGAAGGGAAAGACTAGGACATGCGGGAAAAGATGCCAGAAACAGGAGTAGGAAAGGAAGCGAACCACCACCACGCCCGCAGTACTGCAGAGGCAGAGGCTCCAGCACTCACAGACGAAACATACGGTGGCAGCAGGAGGAAGGCAGAAGGGCGCCTGGCCCAACTTCTGACTAAGGACCGCAGAAAGGCAGAAAACGAAGGGGCGATGGGAAAGGAAGCCGAGCGTCCAGGCTGACACTCCCTGAACCTTTCTGATCCGACTTTCTTAGAACGAGACTGAAGCAGGAAAAGGCAGCCCAGCGTGGGCATGTGGCTGGGGCACCCCAGCCAGCCTCCCTGTGTGGCAGTGGCTGCAGACAGGGCCTACGAGTTGGTGGACACACCCTGTGCACCCTCCCCACAGGGACACCTCGGCCCCAAGGACCGGAGCAGGACGGTGGGGCTGGCACGGTACCTTGTATGGGGAGATGTGCGTGTCCGGCGGGAAGGCCAGCATGCCCATGACCTGGCGGACTTCATCCAGCTGGCTGCCCTCAGCCTGGCTGAAGTGCTTTCTCGCATGTCTGAAAAACATTTTGGCACATTCAGGTTTGCGTTTTCATCCGTTGGAACCTGAGTTGACAATCTTTATGGCAGAATCTAGGCACAAAGTGAATCCCGACCCTGAGCAGACCCAATGGGCAGGGTCTGCGGGGGTCCGGGATGGCAGGAGGACAGCTCACCAGGGGCTGGGAAAGCAGAGTCCTCAGGCAGCCCCTCCTCACAGGGACGGGCACACACCTATACGGAATCCCCCACAGAAAACACCCGAGCCTCCAAAATGACTCTGGTCTAAAGCGAGCCCCAATCCCAGAGATGACTGCCCCTGGATGCACACTCCCATGCCCCAGGGACCGAGAGCTGGTCCTACCTTCTCGACTACAACTCCTCCCTGTTCTGCAGTGACTCCCCAGCCCAGCCCCCCAGGGAACAACAGCCTCACTTGGGTCCACAGGTCGAACTCCACGGCTGGCCCGGCCCAGCCCTCAGAGCCCTGAGTGTGCAAGCAAACAACATGCATGGCCACTGCCTGGCCTGACCAGAGCCTGACCCCAGCTTGGATGAGACTGAGGTGGAGCACGGCAGCTCCCCGCGAGCTGCCCAGTGGGCACCTGCTCGTGCGCCCCACACACAGGCCTCCTTCCCAAGAGCTCGCTCTGGGCCAAGGGCTGCCATCCTTCTGGCTGTCCTGAGAGAGAACCCGCCCTCACTCACACCCTTGGTCCACAGTCCTGTCCTGAGCCCCATCCCCCTGGACAGGTCCCTCTGTCCCAGGAACCTGATGCAGCGGTGCCATGTGGCCCTGAGACCCATACCCAAGTCGGCCCGGAGCTGTGTTAAAAACACGGCATAAGCCAGAGAAAAGTGGGGCCTGGGAGGTGCCGGATGCTCATGGCCGTCTTGGGGGAACACAGTATCTTGACAGAGCCTGGAGCTGGCGTGGGAGGTGGCCAGCAGGGAGGGGACAAGATAGGTGGCTAGGCTCAGGATGCACCCAAACTTGAGTCCCCATGGCTGTCCACCTGACGGGACGAGCTGCAAGAGGGGCTGGCGAGGGGATGCCTTCGAGCTGTGCGCAGTGGGTGGATGTGAGTCTGGGTCCAGGAGCAGGTCCCCACTGGACATCCTAATTCCCTCTTCCAAGACTGCACCAACCGTTCTGCTATTCACCTTCGCTCATGAAGAAGCTTCTTCCCAGCACAAACCATGTCCTTTGTGTCCCTTCCCCCACTGTTTTCATCCCCCGGAGTTTCCATCAACTGGCCATCTCACCCCTCCTAACCCTGGTGGAGAGGGATAATTTAGTCCCTTTGGTTACATCTGTTCAGCGTCTATGAATTCACCGAACTGAGTGACCTGATTTGCGTTTCTTACCTCACAAACAAAAGTTCGAAGTAAAAAACCATACACCTTGCTAAGATGAAGCTGTACGTCCACATACTCTAGCTCTCTGACCTGCAAATCCTGATGCCAAGTAACAAACAAAAGCACGGATGCGGTGACGATGCTGCGTGGACCCTACAGTAAGAATTGCAGCAGCAACGCTGGGAGATCTGCAGCCCAGATGTCCACGTGGGCAGCACCTGGTGCAGGTACCATGAGGGCGGTGAAATGAGCACGACACGGCTGGTTATGAGACACACATGGTCACATCAACTTTTTCTTCAAAATCATAAACGTATGAAGCAAAGACACCCAGAAGACTAAATACTAACCTGTGCCGGGCCAGGCTGAGGTGGGGCATCAGCCAACACAACACAGCTCCACCCTGATGCCGACGCTACTCGCGTGCAGGCCCTGTCCCAGGCACCTTGCTCATTTACTAAAAGCTAAAAATGTTGGGCCGGCCCGTGGCTCACTCGGGAGAGTGCGGTGCTGATAACACCAAGGCCACGGGTTCGGATCCCATATAGGGATGGCCGGTTCGCTCACTGGCTGAGCGTGGTGCTGACAACACCAAGCCAAGGGTTGAGATCCCCTTACCGGTCATCTTTAAAAAAAAAAAAAAAAAAAAAAAAAAGTTAAAAAAGTTAAAAATCAATCACAAGCAGCTCATAGTTTCATGTTTGTAGGCCCAGAAGTGCCCGAGGCAGGGGGCACTGCAGCCCTAGCCAGCGAAGGACGTCCTCTGCCCAGTCCACACACTCAGGTACGGCCAGACGGCAGGACCCCTCCCCACCAATGCTCCAGGGCAGTCCTAGAATAGCGACATGGACCCCATGCTCTGGTGACCATACAGGCTGTGAGTTCAGTGCTGGACACACTGGAAGCTTCTGCATGTTGGGACCGGGCCCCTCCCTGCTGTCCCCAGCAGGACAGCGTTTACATGTGGATCTGGCAAACGCTAGCCTATATTTGGTACCAGGCACAAGGGCCCACTTGGACCCCTAGAAACTTGCGGCCCCTCATCCTACCCCAGGTCCTGTCCACGCCCTGCCTGTGGCACCCAGCCTAGGCACATGCCTTGCCCCTGCCTCCCTCCAGCCCACAGAGGCTCCTGCCGCATCTCAGCCCAAGGCCTCGCTTTGTTCCTCTCCCACTGAGGTCTTGTTTCAGCCCCCAACACAAGGATCCAGACTTGGCTCTGACCTCATCTCTTCCAGGAAGCCCACCTGACTGCCTGCGTCTGGGCTAGTGCCCCGCCAAGCCCAGGCGCTGTGCAGAGCCTCTGTGGCCAGGTTCTGTTTGTCCGCAGCTCGAGTTTGTGTGCCACAGGTAGAAATAGCTTTATCAGTCTTCTTACATTTGCTCGTGGTGAGAACATTCAGAAAATAAAAACTATCTATTTCTTACACTGGAATAGAGTAGATTTTCTTGCTACAGAAAGCTCACGTTGTGCCAGAAAGTTCCGATCATCTGCCACAGAATGTTGTATTTCTACATCTTTGGTGCACTGTGTCAACCTTCAGTGGAGAAGTCTTCGTCCACAAAGACACGCTCTTGCTTCAGCTACTCCTGCACATCCTGACTGTCCCAGGCATCTACAGAGGAGCCCCCCGCACACAGAGTGGATGCTCACAGACACCTGGACCCTCGCTCTCCTGACCCTCCCCACACCTAGTCCCTGAGGTCCCACACCTGAAGCAGGGCCTCCTGACCAAGCTGACACCTGGAGACCACCTGTGATGTGACCCCAGCAGCACCTGCCACACCTGCCCAGGCTGGGGGCTGCCCTCTACCACAACACATGGCTGCGCCAGAGAGAAAGATCAAGCGCACCCCTACCCTGAGGTCCACCTCAGAGTGGACCCACCTGCACCCCCACAATAGGTGGAGCCACAGAGGGTGCAGCTCTGGGCTCTGCCCCCAACCATCACACAGCGGAGGCATCATGAGCTCCCCACTCGACCCCTGCCTGCCTGTCCCCGAGGAGTCCCCGGTGGAGGCCCCGCTGTCACAAGAGCCTCATGCGGGCAAGTAATTACCCTGATGAAGAGGAGGAAGGATGCCCAACAAGAGCGGCTGCAGCGGGGGGTGGGGGGGTGGGGTGTGTGTGTGTGTGTGTGTGTGTGTGTGTGTGTGTGTGTCTCTCTCTCTCTCTCTGCAGTGTTTTGTTTTCAGATTCCTGGGCTGATCTGGGGGTCAAGGCTCTCAGGAGACTGAGGTTCACTCGAGGGAAGCAGGGCTAGGCCATGCTGGGCAGATGACATCCTGTAGATTAAGTGCCCAGGACATCGCAGTAGACACGGGAGGGGTGCCGGCAGGAGCCCTGCTCCCACACACAGTGTAGGTGCCGTGCCCCACTGTCAGTCAGGCCAGGTGTGGAGACCCCCATTCTGTCCTCTTCAGGGAAGCCCTCCACCCCTCTGTGCCTCCAGAGCTCTTCTGAGTCACTGACTGCCGAGGGGCATCCTGCTGACGGTGGGGTGCTGTGGGGCTGCCTGTAACACGGCTCTCCCATCACCCTCTGGGGCTCAGCATCTTGTATTAAGATTCCCGGTTACTGCCGTGTAGCACCCTTCCTGGGAAGACCCACAGTTGTATACCCGGCCCACTTCAGGTGGACAAGGGACCCCTGCCAAGGCGTCGGCTATCACAGATAGGGCACCACGGGGCCACACCACCTCTGCTGGCACGTTCCTGTTGCACACATGCCTGGGCAGGACCTGCCTGTCAGCTCAGCACATGCTGCACATGGCCCCTCAGATGTGTTGACTGACAGTCCAAGGAGCAGTTCATCGCACCACTGGCCCCACTGGGGTCTCTCTGCCCACAGCGCCAAGCTTCCCGCTCACAGAGTGTGAGGTTTAATGGGCAGGAACTAAGCAAGGCCAGACAGAGAAGACCCCACACTCAGAGCCACGGCTGCCACACTGCCTCCACCCCAGACGTGGCATGAACTGATCAACCCCACCCAGGTGGGCGTGGGGAAGGCTCTGGCACGCTGCCGGCTGATGGCGGCCAGTTTGGGAGAACAAGTGGGAGATCAATACACGGCCTCCCTCATTTTGTGGACACCACACACCCAATCAAGGCTGAGCGGGAGCCCCCACCAGGCTGAGGCCACACGGGCAGCAGCCACGGTTCCCTGTACCCCACCCTGGTGCTGCCCCAACAGACCAAGAAAACCCAGATGTGCCTGCGCAGAAAGCCCCAGATGCTCCACGTGTGGTCAGTGTTCTCCCAGATGACCATGACGGGAATTCCCCAAACTAAGTACACTTAAAGCTACCCGAGGACCACCCACACCAGGGAGACTCCTGAGCTGTGGGAGCTGACAGCACTTTCCCAAGTGAAAAGGTGAGCACTGGAGCCCAGAGTCCACGTGTCTCACATGGATGGTCGTGACGCCCACCTGTCGCCACACCTGGTTGGGGGAGCATCCTCCTGGACTGGGAACAGTGAGAGAAGCAGGGCCAGTCAGAAAGGAGGACCCACCAGACGCCACGGTCCAGCAGCTGCCCTCCCACAGGACACCACATGAACATCACAACGTCCTACCTCACAGCGTCCAGTCTCTTGTTCTGCCGGATGAGTTCAATGAACTCCTGAATCCTTAGGCTGAACTCCAAGCAGCTCTGAGGGTAAAGACAAGACGAGGGCTTAGCGCGTCTGTGAACCAAGACACACCACCGCAGAGCCAGGCTCTGGGCGTCCACACGGCCATGTCAGCGGCAGACCCCACCACCAGAGCTCAGAGCCCCTCAGGCGGGCACCGGGAAGGCAGGGCTGAGGCCAGAACTGCCGTTTCAATCTGCAACCAACACTTTCTAGTGTGACCAACTTGGTTCCAAGTCTGAGTCTGGCCTCTCCTCAGGTGGACACTGAGGATGCACCTAGGAGCTTGGGGATGCCAGAGGGCAGAGTGGGGGCACAGCCACCGGGTAGCTAACAGAGGCTGCAGAGGCATCTCCAGTCCACGGGACGCACAGGGCACCACACGTGGCTATGTGAAGGAAAGCCCAGCCCCCACGAGGACAAAGGGGCTTTCTGGGCACTATCCTACCATCACCGAAGGCCCAGAGCATGGGAGCACTCAGCTTCCTTCACCTACAGGCATTTCCTCCTGCCTCACCTGCTGGGCCTCTGTCAGTCTGTCCCACACGTGTGACCTGGCTGCTGCCTGTGCCAGGGGCTATTCTGGGAGAACTTGGGCAAGTGCTGCTCTGACGCACTGATGGCTGGTGGGAGGTGACAGTGACCAGCATGTGGGTGCTGGGTGCGCTAGAAGTGGCTCCCTTACGAGCATGAGGCAGAGGAGGGAGTGCAGCAGGTGAGGACCAAGTCTCGCTGAGCAGGGAACCCCAGAGCAAAGACTGACGGGGAGTTGGGCAGATGCCCAGGAGGAATGTTCCTGGCTGAAGCACAAGCCAGTGCAAAGGCCTTGGGGCAGGGGGTGCTTGGCGCAAGAGGCACTTGGCTTGAGGGTGCCGAGGCTCCCCCCGTAAGTGGAAGGCTGAGATCGGCTGGGATCAGGTGGAGACAGTGGAGGGGGTGGCTCCTGTAAAGGGCAGAGGCCCCAGGATTTGCTGAGGCTGTGAGAGAGGCATGGGGCTGGAGATTTCAAGTGAGGGCGGTCCATGTGGGGGGTTTAGGGGGGTGCAGGGGTGGCTTAGGGTGAAGGCCTGGCAGGCCTTAGTCTGGCAGTGCCTCTAAAAGCTCTGCACGTGATCCTGAGAGAAGGCCATGGAACGCACCCCCACGGGTGCAGTCGGCGTGGAAGCCCAAACACCAACTTTGAAATCTTAGCAATACGTCAACGGAATCACTTGTGGCAGGGCGTGGGGGCCAGCAGGCAAAATCAACTTTCATAATTTAAGGTGAAAAGCTGGGTTATTTCACAAACCTAAGTTTCTTGTTGTTGCTTTTGATTTGGTTTTTTGGCAGCTGGCCAGTACAGGGATCTGATGCTGGGCCTTGGTGTTACCAGCTCCACTCTAACCAACGGAGCTGACTGGACAGCCCCAAAAGTAGGAATTTAAACTTCAGGATCTTCGACAGTTTCAGAACACATGCACACTCTCCACCAGGAGGAGGACACGGGAGTGGGTGAAGCGAGAGGCGAGTCTGGGGCTCCCCCTCATTCATAGTCCAGGCTCCCGAGTACTCAGATCACAAGACAGTGTGGGCAGAAATCCCACAACTCTGAACAGCTAAAACTTAAACTGGAAGTCTGTCGACAACATGCACTTCCCACTCAGCCTCCACCGCATGTGTGCTGGTGTTCTGAAGGACCCTCTCAACCCGCCCCTGGGAGAGCACCTGTCCCCACCGTGCCGCCTGCCAGCCCCGCTCCGCTGAGCCCCTGCAGTGGCAGCTCTGAACAGGGAGGGACGATGGCCCAGGCCCCGGGAGCTGGCAAGGGCGCCAGAGAGCCACTCACCTTCCAGGACACGACCCCGACATGAACACACAACAGGGGCTCGGAGTGGGAGCCTGCATGGGGCTTCCCTTGCTCCTCACCCCGCCCTGTGCTCTCAGCCCAGCCCTCTGCACCAGGAGGTGAGGAAACAGGCTGCAGGCAGAACGGGAAGGCCTGCTCCATGTTGGGCAGGCTTGCTACAAACCGGCGAAGGGAACAAGGTCACCGCAGGCTCCGCAGGAGGGACGCGGCCCAGCTCCACCACGAGCAAACCCAGGCCAGCAGGAGCCAAGGGGAGGCCCACAGAGGCCCCAGCGTCAGTGGGTGCAGCCTGCCTCCTGGGCACCCAATGACCGCTGCTACTACAGTCAGCGTGCACCAGCGGGCTCTGCAGGAAGCAGTGTTTTGGGTAAACTCTAGGTTACTACTTTACAAAATGGACATTTTTAAACTTTTTATTATTTTTTTTGTCCTTTTTTTTTTTTTTTCCTTTTTGTCTTTTTTTTTTTACTGACCGGTAACGGGATCGCAACCCTCAGTGTCGCACCCCTACCGGGACCGGTAACGGGATCGCAACCCTCGGTGTTGCGCCCGCAGCGCGCTCAGCCAGTGAGCGGGAACCGGTCTCCACATGGGATCCAAAGCCTCGGCGGGAGCGCCGCAAGCGGCGCACTCTCCAGTGCGCCACCGGGCCGGCCCTTTTTTTGTCCTTTTTGAGACCGGCCACACTGTGCTCAGCCAGTGAGCGCATCGGCCATCCCTATATAGGATCCAAACCCGCGGCGGGAGCGCCGCTGCACTCCCAGCGCCGCACTCTCCCGAGTGTGCCACGGGCTTGGCCCTAAACTTTTTATTATTTACCACAGCTCTTTACTCTAGTAGGTTAACTTTCAAATAGCACACTAACAGGTGTGTGCGTACAAGTACTGAATACCAGGTATTCAGGCCTGATGCCAAAATACCACAGATACAAATAGGCACACAGCATGAGGAACGTCATCTACACTATGCAACAGGCTTGGAGCTTCCACCTTTGTGACCCTACGTGACTTTCCTACACACACGCACCATGCAAATAGCTGCTTCAATGGTCCTTCAGGGTCTACAGACCTGAGTCAATTCAGTGGACACAGACTTGGCACCTCATGACTTAGACAGTTACTTTCCAAATACGTGATTCTTGGGTCTCAAAGTTTCTTTTCCCATGTAGATTCTCATGACTGATCTGAGGGGCCCTGTGAGTGCACAGGGAGGCTCCTCCCTGGCCTCCCACCCGTGTTCATGCACAAATACGGACACAGACCACACAGACATCTGTGCGCCCAGCTGTGTTCAGCTAACATCATGATGGCATGTTCTCAGGCCATCAGGTGGTCTTCAAGACAAGTTTTCGGACAGCTGTTCATGCTCCCTTCAATGCTGACTTCTTTAAACACTGAAGCAACCCTCATCTGTTGAGCAGGCTCAGCACTCCACGTCTCTCAGACCCCGCCTGGCCCATGGGAGCTTCCGACCTCGGCTGTGGTCAGCCTTGTGAAACACCCCAGCAGCGCTGGCTGGTAGGTAATTAGGGCTTGCAGAAACAACCAGTCAAGATGGGGAGCCTGTTTTCCCTGAGCTCACACTAATCAGCCTGCGGGCATAGTTCCCATGAGGCGCGTCCTGGCTCTCCGGGAGGGGGTGGGGATGGAGCTGTGGGGGTGCCGGGAGTTACATACCAATTCTGGCTTTCCTTTTAGGGTTTCCATACCAAGATCCTCACTCTCTTTAGGGGAGCCACTGGCCGCTCTACTCTTTCGTCCCGTCTTCGCTTCGTGTTCGTTTTGGCGGCCCTGAGCGGCAGAGAGTGTCACTCTCGGCTGGTGACTACGTGCACCCGACAAGCTCGGGGTGGGATTAAAGAAGCGCTCAGTTTAGAAAACAGAAAACAAACAGTTTCCTAACAGAGGCAGGGTCGGTTAATAGATGTTAAGACATTTCTGCAAGCCCTAGGGTGGAAGATTTCTTTTAGCAAGCAAGTTTGAATTCTGCAGTTTACATTGAGGGTCTATTTTCTAAGCCACTTGTGGTCTCTAGAAAAGTGTGTATTCAATGAGAACATCACAGCCCAGAGCTCTGCAGCCTTTGTGCGTCTATGACGGAGCATGGGGAGCCACAGAGCAGCCCCACAGGGAGCAGGACCCACTGTCTTGGCTCCAAGCCCAGCAGCCGCTAACATGCTGCATGCACCACCGGCCTGCCGCACCTGGCTCTGGTCCTTGCTCTCAGAAGGGCTGTCCTAACCCTAACGCAGGAGGTGCATTTTTCAGTGTTTTTACCTAAAAGCAGACCACCACCACCAAAAGACCCCCAAACCCACACCAAACCCAACAGCTCCCACCTTACGAACCCAAAGCAAATGACCGGGAACCAAAGGACGAGGCATGCTAGTTCCTGGGCAGGATACATACATAGCCTTGGCCCCGCCCCACCAGGGAGCCCTGCCACCAACAGGACCCCCGCCCCTCCAGGGAGCCCTGCCACCAAGAGGACTCCCGCACACCTTCATCTTCCGGAGCCGGGACTTGTTGTCGTGGCACCAGGCCAGGCAGGTGGCCGTCTCGCGCCTCTCCAGGGACTCCTCCACTTCTTTGGCCGTCAGGAACATCTCGATATTCACCAGGTCCTTAGAGGAAGGCAGTAGCTCCTGGTTAGAATGCTCTCTGGCTCAGGAACCCCTTTCCCCGTGCCCGGCCACAGTGGGGGAGCCTTGGTCCCCACCCCTCTCCACTCCAACATCCAGGGGACTGGGGGCTCCCGCCTCCACCCACAATGTGCAGCCCCCCCAGCACATCCCACAGCCCCTCCCTGGAAGGCCAGCCCCCCCCAGCACATCCCACAGCCCCTCCCTGGATAGCTATCCCCCAGCATATGGTACACCTCAAATTAGAGCATTTCATCCTCCATAGCCTGAGGCCCTGCAGCCCAGGAGAGGGACAGCACAGCTCCCAACTGGAGTCAGGTGACCCTGAGACCCAGACCCCCATGCTGCGGGCAGGATAAGTGCAGGACAGGCAGCTCAGGAGCTCGCTGCACAGGACAGAGCACAGCTGGACAAGCTGTGCCAGGTCACAGGAGGGGTTCTCTACTTGCTCCAGGCAGAAAGGCTCAGGGGAGCTCCCGAAACTGATGGGGGCAGCTCCAACCTGGGGGCCGCGCTTGCGCTGAGGAGCAGCATGCCCGGGCAGGGTTAGCAGCAAGCACAGGTGAGAGCTGTGAGCCTAAACAGAACTCTTGCGCCCCTGGGGGCAGAGGCTCATCCCCCATTTAAAGCCTTCACAGGGAGATCTGGAAACTCACACTCTCCCCTTCTTTTCTTTTTAAACCTAATATTTTGGAAAGCGGGGGGGGGGGGGGGGGGCTTTCCTCTCTTTTTTCTCCAATGCCCGTGTGCTCTGGGAAGTCAGGCTCATGACAGACTGTCTGCTAAGCTCTGGAGGGTCACACCGACCCCACCACGAGT